AATTGAACTTGCTATGCTGTCCTAGAAGTCCATGGATTCTAGCTGAATGTTAAAAGGACAGCATAGAATGAGATATAATCAGTTCAAAAATACGAGTTAAAAGTTTCTGCACATTGTAATAGTGGGAGGAGCACCCAATCCTGTTTTGGAGAGGAGCCCAGCAGACAGGTGCTGGGAATCATCTAACCTAGCTAGGCAAAATCAGGTGATGATATCAATTAGGGGTTTAGAGGAGAACATTCCCCTTGAAATACAACAGAGCACTATGAAGTGGATCCACCTAGGGTGAGTAGAGATTCTGACTGGGAAGCTACAGAAGGCTGAGGAGCACAATCTAGTTTGAGAATGAGATTGTTATTTTATATTGTCTCTCTACCGTTTCTTTCTGGGATAATAAACAGAGCCCTGGAACAGGGGCTATGAACAGATTTGGGTATGGCTAATTATGTAGAGTCCACCCTTCTACCCAGGTGTTACACTTGTTATCAATCACTTGACAATACTTGTGAGTTTACAATTACAATTTCCTGGTTTTAAAATGTGTTGTCTCACATTGCTGTGTGAAAACCACAAACAAATGGGGGAAGTGGACTAAACCCCAATCCTGCAGGTTATAACAGTAATAATTATTTCAACTACAGTAAGTGAAGGTGCCTGCCCATGTAGATCAGCTGCAAACTGAATCTGCGGAGGAAGGAGTACAGGCTAAGTAGACACAAAGCACAGTCAAATTCCCAAAGAAATGGAGGAGGAAAACAGAAGAAAGTGTTTTTTTTTTCCTGACCTTGCTTTTCGTTATAGTAATAGTTGGTGTTATTTATACTGTCAGTAGATAAACTATTATTTCTGATTTTTTTTTAAAGTTAAATATGTTCTCAGCTGATGATGGCAGCAGGTGCACAGATAGTAGTGAAGGGATTCTTATGACTGCAGTTTGTATGTTAAAGCTTTAAATTGCCCCTAAATATTTGGCTCATAGTTTCAAAGAGTTTACAGCACTCTACATGTTACTTGCATTTTGAAAATACTTCTCAGCTTAAATTACTTTTCTTTATTTTGTGGTTGAGCAAGGTTTCCATCTATAGGCCTTTGAACTGATGGAAAATTAACAAGGCATAATAGAATTTGTGTGTGGCTAGCTATTACAGTTCTTCCACTATCTTCCCACTAACTTGCAAAAATGCATTATTCTAACCTGTCCTATTCTTCTGTATACTCCTATAGGGGAGAGAAAGGGAGAGAGAGCCTGGAGCACTGGGCCTGGTATAAGATCTGAGGCCTGAACCATATTAAAGCCATGTATTAAAGCAGATGTTTACAAGGTTCACTGTCTGATACATGAACTTGGCAAGGGCACTGCTAGTGTTGCTCGAACACAGGCACTCCTAAGAAGCAACAGACACTGGGCACGCGTGTGAACACACTTCAAAAGATTAACGAAGGTACGTCCTGACCTAACACCAGATAAGAGGGTTTGACGGAAGTGATGACTAGGGATGTTTTGCCCGAGACACCTGGAGCAAGATATAAGGGGAGGTAACAAGCAGATGTCATGAAATACAAAAGGTGGTATGTAAGTTGTTTGTCTCAGTCTATAAATGTTGGGGTACCTCATGACTGAGCCACTCCTTGCCATTAGATACTCGTGTATTAGCCTACCTGTAACCACCGATCCAAGGAATTGGGACTGTGCCTTGAGGGCAATAAACCTGGCCAAGAGCATTTGTCACTGAACAGTGCCATGGTCTTTCTTTCTGGGTAGTACTTATGACACTCTGCCCCAAAGAGACATTCTGCACCTTATATTCACCATGGTGATATTGATATGTTTTGTACAACATATGCCTTGTGAGGTATCATTCTAAAAGTTTTTGTATGTTGAACATTAATATCCTGTTAAGTTGTGTGTGCTCTCATTGTATAGGAAGTTATAAATTTTTGCTATGTATGTGCTACTGAAACATGTGAGGATGGGAACACGCACAAGCAGCCTTTCAGGTACAACAATAAAAAAGCCAAACAATGTTGATGGCCTGTTGAGGAGATACACACCCTCACAAGGATTACCCCAGGAACTGGGGACAACAGAAACCTCTCAGAGATAGCACTACACAATGGGAACTGTTTGACTCAAGTCACAGCAAAAGATCTTTCCAGCATGTTGGAACAAGATATAAAAGGGGGAAGTGACATCATGACAGGGCCTCACTCCCCTACAACACAACGTCTTAGGAACAAAGGCTGAACTGGGGAGGGTCCCAGGCAGGAAAGAAGGAAGCCCTGCCCATGTATGGATGCTTGATGGACTGTTTGTTCTATCTAACAGGGTGAAACACTGCTTGATTCAAATCCTATCTAGTTTATAAGACTTAGATTGGAATTTTGTTTATTTCTTAGGTAGCCATCTTTGATTGCTATCACTTATAATCACTATTACTTGTAATAACTTAAAATCTATCTTTCCATATTTAATAAACTTGTTTTATATTTATACCTAAAATAGTATGGTTTGCTTGAAGTGTGTGAGGAATCTGCTCAGGCACAGGGGTTGGGGCATTGTCCTCTCCACATAGAGGGAGGGGTGGACTAGGTAATACATTTATACTGCTCAGGATTTTGACCAGGGCCAGATGGTACAGCTCTGGGCTCCTAGGCTGTGGAACTGGGGAGAAGCCTTCATGTAACTGCAGCTGAGTGTGTCCCTGCTGGTGTAAAGGTTTGTGTGAGTGTAGGACTGGGAGAGGTCTGCAGCTTGTCAGGCACAGTATGAGAGGGAGCCCAGGCTGGTGAGACAGGGCTCAGCGGTACCCCAGTTCCAGGTTGCACCTTGGTGTGGGGAGCAGTCAGAGTACTATTGCGGTCTGTTGAACCAACTATCTGCACAGGGCTGGGACAGCATACTGAGAGAGCACACATACCCATCAACTGATGACAACTCCCTCTTTCACCAAAGTCTCACTTTGTACCTTGCTCCATCCTCCAAAAAATCACCATTAATCAAAGTTGTGCAGTTGCTTACCTTTGTACCCACATGCGCTTATAGCAAACTTTCTTCTTTCTAACCCCTTTTCTCCCAGTGTCAGTGCTTAAAGCTTTCCAGGTCACTGACCCAGAAAATAAAATTTCAAATAAGCAAGTTGGCTTGTGGAGGGGAACACACATTTCGTACAGCCTGAGGAAAAACCTGCTCCAATTGGTGGCTTTCCCCACTTGCCTATATTTTGGGGCAAGTGGGGAAAGCCTCCTGGGCTGCTGCGGAAAGCAGGTAGAGCTCTCTCCCCTCAGGCATTGACACTGTTTTAGTCTATATAGGTCCTTATATCACATGCATCACTATAATATCTGAGCACCTTCAAGAAAGTCATTAAGCAACATGACTAACATCTGTTGTGTGTTTTGTTCTCTCCTCCCCCTGTGGGAGAGGATAAGTAGAGCATGTGCACTTTGTCTTGTTTTGGTAGATTGTTTTTTTTTTTTAAATATCTGGTGGTGTGTGTGTGAGAAGGTAAAGTCAAAGAACTGTGCCTCAAACTTGAGTTGGAACCAGTAGCACTCGGGTTTGTGAGGACCATTAGTTCCACAGTCTGGGACCACCCCTGGATAAAGTTTTATCTCCTGCACAGCAGAGCTTTACTCTTAGTGTCCAGAGTTCCCTTGAGCCAGTGGAGGGGGGAAGAGCAGAGGAGCCATCCGGGTCCCTCGCCCTGGAGGAGAGGGGAAGTAGAAAGAGCCCAGGAGATCAGGGAAGCTCTGTTTTTCTCCTCCTTTCCTGTGAACAACAGAACAGCTCCTCTACTTTCTCAGAGTGTGGAGATAGATAGCAGGAGAGAGATCACTTGATCATTACCTGTTAGGTTCACTCCCTCTGGGGCACCTGGCATTGGTCACTGTTGGCAGACAGGATACTGGGCTGGATGGACCTTTGGTCTGACCCAGTATGACCATTCTTATGTTCTTATGCTTCTGCTAGCCTTCCCCGCAATACCAGGTCCAAGAAGGGGGAGAGTGAAACCTGTTGCAATACCCTCCCCCTAGGCCTGGGAGAGGTGGATGTAGAATGTTAGGAGCTGTAAAAGGAGCAGAGGTTAAGGGAAAGGGCGGGCAGGGGGACAGAGTTGACAAGGGGGGCTGGCAGAGCAGAAGTGACCTTGGGGCAGGGGGCGGGTGATAGACCCTCCACTCTTTTCACACGCCTTTAAGTATGGTTTCTTACACTCACTTGTCATGCCTGGTCTTAAACTGCACTGTAAGGTTTTCAGGAAAAACTACATTTATGTCTGTACAGCATGCAGTATAACAGGGCACCATCCTAATTATGACATCAATAATTTCGGCTCAATACACTTATGAACCATAGGCGCTGACTCTGTGGGTGCTCCGGGCCTGGAGCACCCATAGGCTGGAGCTCCGGAGCTGGAGCACCTGAGGGGAAAAATTGGTGGGTGCTCTGCACCCACTGGCAGATCCCCGCCCCAGCTCACCTGCGCCTCTGTTCCACCTCTGCCTCCTCCCCGAGTGCGCCACGTGCCTGCTTTTTCCCCCTCCCTCCCAGCGTTTGCCACTGCGAAACAAGCACTGGGAGGGAATGGGGAAAAGGGGGAACGTGGCACACTCAGGGGAGGAGGTGGGGCTGGGGCGGGGATTTGGGGAGGGGTCCAATAGGGACAGGGACGAGGCGGAGTTGGGGCTGGGACTCTGGGGGAAGAGGTTGGAATGGGGGCAGGGCGCAAGCACCCACGGGCGCCATAAGAAGTTGGCACCTGTGTATAAACAATCTGTTACCTACAACATCATGTTGTAATGAACACTTACTTTGCACAGATTGACCTGACTTGAATTACCTGAAGTCCTATACAGCATAGTGGGAGGGGAGGAGGAAATACAAGGGAAAGGCCCAGGTCAGTTAACTCAGTTAATACTGCAGATGAGGGCTACCTCATAACACCCTTCCAAAAGCTGATCCCAGGTAGGTCTGAAGAGAGCTGCCCTCTGTGACTTACCTTGGGGTAGGAACCAGAGCACTCAAGCAGCAGATAGGGCAGTTGTTGCACAGCACTGCAGCAGCAGAGGCCCAAGAGAAGGCCGACTGTCTGCTGGGTCTGCTCAGGGGCACAGAATTAAAGGGTGACTGAGCGGAGAGGCTCAGTTATAAGCAGTTCCGCAGCTGCAGCAAAGAAGCAGTGGGCAGTGAGCCAACCAAAGCCGGGAAAGGCTGCTACGGATCTGGGAAAAAGGCTCAGAAAAGGAGTGGTGTATGTGAAAGGGAGGGGTGAGCAGCACAGCACAATAGGCAGCTACAGCCCTCAGCCACAGCTCAGAACAGCTTCCTCCTGCCAATTTCCAGGCCAAGACAGCCCTGTGTGAGCCACTCCTCCAGACCAGCCTTAAAGAGACAGAAGCACACACAAGACTGCTACCACCAGGGATACTAGAAATCCACCTCACGTGAGGCTGGCATGGCAGAACACATATTGTATAGCTCACAAAAAGAATATAGGCCCTGAACTATTCTCTCAGGAGAGTGCACTACATAGAATAGCACTGCTAAAAGGGCACAGGACCCCACTCAGGCAAGAAGGAATCCCTAGCAGAAGAGAAAGCTAATTTCCTCCATTATTTCCTCCATGTCTATTTGTTTTCTTTTTCTTTAAATATAATCACCAAATAACTTTGATATACAAGCTAGAGGAACCGGATTGAGCTAACGTTATGGAAGAGACACATTCCTGATTATATAATACAAAATAGCAATACTCTTAAAAAGCACACTTACCTTCAAGTCACACAAACAGCTCTGCCTCATACAGTTCTTAGAAGACTCCTGAACACAATAAATGTGAGTAAAACGCAGCACAGATAAGTATTAATCCTAGACTTCCAAATCCAAAACTGAATGCCAGCCTTTGTCTGTGTATTTCCTAACTATTATCAAAGCCTGGTAAATGTATAACTAAAACTCAGACAGTTAAAATGAAGTTTTCTGAGCTGTTCACCTCCCAAGTCACGAGTCCTCACAGAACTATTATGACATCAATTATTAACATTGCTTATTTACAAAATGCTGCAAACTGCCTACTTGCAGGAATAGCAAATCTCTGTGGACCTTTAGAATGCCAGAATTCCTATAAATAAATGAAAATAGCAGTGCTATTTACTCTTAGTATTTTCAGGATAAGTTTAATTGCCCAGAGTTCTAAATTGGAGGAGAAAAGCAGGAGCCTCATCTACCTCCCCTAACTTGCTCCTGCCCGTTCCTTTACCCTTTCATTGCTACATCCACCATAAGGTTGCCAGTTTTGGTTGGGTATATTCCTGAATGTTTGGTCACATGACATAATCTTTCATTAAAGATTAATCTTTAATTCTTGGAGATTCCAAGAAAATCTTGGTGGGTTGGGAACCCTAATCCCCCAGCAACCTCAAAATCCTCATGTGCTTCTTATGGCAGACTCTACTCCTCTGCACTGCTGGTTCTTCACAGCTGATGTAGCGTGGATTGATTTAAATCAAAATTGCAATGATCTTGGGGTACATTAAATAACAAACCAGTGAATGGGAAAGGAATAAAATTTTAATAAAACAAGCTGGAGAGCATCTCTGGTGAACTGCTGCACAAAGCCCTGCGATGTTCCCAACCCTCCCCTCCAGGGCACATCTACAAATTCCCATGTTGATAATACTGTCCCTTATAAGGGAGTATCTAAAAATTATAATCTTCTACAAACATATTTCTACATCTTCCGTCTTAAAGAAAAACAAATTAACTCTTGTGTGTATATATATATATATATATAAATAACAGCTAACAACTATCTAATGACACATGCATTAAATTTTCAGCCCATGTAGTACAATGTGCCAATTAGCTAGAGAAGAGACGAAAAGGAGTACTTGTAGCACCTTAGAGACATGCCACAAGTACTCCTTTTCTTTTTGCGGATACAGACTAACACGGCTACTGCTCTGAAACTAGAGAAGAGAGGTTACCAGCACATCACTCTTAAGTGAGTCTTTGCCACTCACTTTTCTCAAACACCCTTTCTTCAGGCAGGTTAGCAAGTCTCTATGAGTCTTTCAGGAGGTTCAATCTGATACTGTTCTTCTCAGTATCAGCCTTTCATTAGAGTCTGAGTTGTTCTCTTGTTCCTTGACAGTTTCTCCTTTGTGGGTTGATGATAAAGGATCAGTCAGATGGGAAATACCAAAGTCCACATTTACTGTCAACGTATTAGAACTTTCTGTGATTACTCTTAGATCCAGACAGATTCTGCCATAATCAAAGGGACTATATAACACCTTGGATGCAGCTGTTCTTTAATGGTACCCCTTTGGCCCCCAGTATTAGAGGTGTGATTCCTCAGGCACACTCTATCACAGGGGTCGGCAACCTTTGGCACATGTTCCAAAGGCGGCACGCAAGCCGATTTTTACTGGCATAGTGTTGCCTTCCGGGGTACCGGCCGCCACCCCTGCTCAGCCCACTGCCGGCCTGGGTGGACAGAACTCCAAGCCAGCAGCGGGCTGAGTGGGGCCGGCGGCCAGGACCCTGGCTGTCAGGAGCCAGCACACGGAACCCCAGACTGGTGGCAGGCTGAGTCGCTCGGGCCTCTGCCAGTCTGGGGTTCTGCCCGCCAGTGTAGTGTATTAAATTTCTCCCCGTAGGAAAGTGCTATTTGCGTAGCAGCAGGATTGGCAGCTGTAAGTAGTACACCATAAGTAGCATTTTCCTACAGGGAGAAATTTAATACACTGCACTGGTGTAGGGAAGGCTGTGGCTCCCCAAACAGCCGGCCCACTTCCCGCCCCCTGACTGCCCCCCTCATAACCCCTGACCCATCCAACCCCCCGACTCCTTGTCCCCTGACCACCCTCTTCCAGGACCCCCTGCCCCTGATTGCCCCCCTCAGAACCCTCCACCCATCCAACCTCTCCCCCCCCCGCTCCTTGTCTCCTGACCACCCCGTCCCGGCAGGGGCGGCTCTACCAATTTTGCCACCCCAAGCAGTCGCTGCTGAATTGCCGCCGCCACAGCAGCGGCAGAGCTACCGCTGAATTGCCACCACCCCCAGAAGAGCGGAGGAGCTGCTGCACAAAAGCCGCCATGGCGGGAAGAGCAGCGGAACTGCCGCCAAATTGCCGCCGCAGAACATGGATTGCCTCCCCATTCTCATTGCCGCCCCAAGCACCTGCTTGGAAAGCTGGTGCCTGGAGCCGGCCCTGCCTCCCGGGATCCCACCGCCCCATCCAAGCCTCCCTGCTCCCTGTCCCCTAACTGCCCCAACCCCTATCCATACCCCCGACCCCTGACAGCCTCCCCCCCCCAGGACTCCCTGCCTATCCAAACACCCCTGTTCCCCATCCCCTTACCATGCCGCTCAGAGCATCAGGACTGGCAGATGTAAATAGTACATGGTAAGTAGCACTTTCCTATGGGGAGCAAGTTAATAGACTACATCCAGCCCTGCTCAGCCCGCTGATGGTCTGGAGTTCTCAAAATATGTTCTTTCACTCCTTATAAAAAATTACACTACAATTAGCTTAAAAACTTGAAAGCTTAAAAACTTAAAAATGTTGTATATTACAGTAATCGTTAAAAAATGTATAATGCTAATAAATACATAGGTTTGATTAAACAAAGTAGTTGTACTTATGTGCCTGTGCTTAATTTGTGTTTTCGATGATTTACTTTCTAAAATAATCTCGTATGTCTCGCACGACCAGAAAGGGCATCTCACAAGAACCACTGCACTAAACTGATAAGATCTGCATTTTAATTTAATTTTAAATGAAGCTTCTTAAACATTTTAAAAACCTTGTTTACTTCACATACAACGATAGTTTAGTTACATAATATAGACTTATAGAGAGAGACCGTCTAAAAAGGTTAAAATGTATTACTGGCACACAAAACCTTAAATTAGAGTGAATAAATGAAGACTCGGCACACCACTTCTGAAAGGTTGCCGATCCCTGGTCTGTCACCTGGGTTAAGAGATGGAAGATCATGGGGACTTTTGTCAAAATAATATTTCTGCTTCCACTTCTGATTTTCTTTCATAGAATCATAGAATATCAGGGTTGGAAGGGACCTCAGGAGGTCATCTAGTCCAACCCCCTGCTCGAAGCAGGACCAATTCCCAGTTAAATCATCCCAGCCAGGGCTTTGTCAAGCCTGACCTTAAAAACCTCTAAGGAAGGAGATTCTACCACCTCCCTAGGTAACGCATTCCAGTGTTTCACCACCCTCTTAGTGAAAAAGTTTTTCCTAATATCCAATCTAAACCTCCCCCACTGCAACTTGAGACCATTACTCCTCGTTCTGTCATCTGCTACCATTGAGAACAGTCTAGAGCCATCCTCTTTGGAACCCCCTTTCAGGTAGTTGAAAGCAGCTATCAAATCCCCCCTCATTCTTCTCTTCTGCAGGCTAAACAATCCCAGCTCCCTCAGCCTCTCCTCATAACTCATGTGTTCCAGACCCCTAATCATTTTTGTTGCCCTTCGCTGGACTCTCTCCAATTTATCCACATCCTTCTTGAAGTGTGGGGCCCAAAACTGGACACAGTACTCCAGATGAGGCCTCACCAATGTCGAATAGAGGGGAACGATCACGTCCCTCGATCTGCTCGCTATGCCCCTACTTATACATCCCAAAATGCCATTGGCCTTCTTGGCAACAAGGGCACACTGCTGACTCATATCCAGCTTCTCGTCCACTGTCACCCCTAGGTCCTTTTCCGCAGAACTGCTGCCTAGCCATTCGGTCCCTAGTCTGTAGCTGTGCATTGGGTTCTTCCGTCCTAAGTGCAGGACCCTGCACTTGTCCTTATTGAACCTCATCAGATTTCTTTTGGCCCAATCCTCCAATATGTCTAGGTCCTTCTGTATCCTATCCCTCCCCTCCAGCGTATCTACCTCTCCTCCCAGTTTAGTATCATCTGCAAATTTGCTGAGAGTGCAATCCACACCATCCTCCAGATCATTTATGAAGATATTGAACAAAACCGGCCCCAGGACCGACCCTTGGGGCACTCCACTTGATACCGGCTCCCAACTAGACATGGAGCCATTGATCACTACCCGTTGAGCCCGACAATCTAGCCAGCTTTCTACCCACCTTATAGTGCATTCATCCAGCCCATACTTCCTTAACTTGCTGACAAGAATACTGTGGGAGACCGTCTCAAAAGCTTTGCTAAAGTCAAGAAACAATACATCCACTGCTTTCCCTTCATCCACAGAACCAGTAATCTCATCATAAAAGGCGATTAGATTAGTCAGGCATGAC